TGGGGAGTGATTTCTCGTTTTCTGTCTCTATGTCTCTCTCTGTCTGTCTGGCGAGCGCATGCGCCCTATAGCAAAAACCTCTCAAAAAAAAAAAGGATAATGGAGTCACCTGGAGAAGCTGGAGAAGGGAATAACTAATATGGCGAGAAAGGAAATGAGAAGGCACCTCAGGGTGTTGAAGCAGAATTGGAGCTATCAGTGTGAACCCATGGTTCCCTTATGCACACGAGCAGATTTAGAAATGCACACAGAAGTAAATGTCTGCCTGTGCACACGTATCCCCCAGCACATGCACTGCGAGGGCACAAAGCAGTGATACCCAGGAACAACCGCCACTCCCAGCACACAGATCTCGGTTTCTGAATGTCATACTCTATGGTTCTTGGAGATCTGGTGATTCCAAGACTGAGCCAGGGAAAGCAGACAATGAGCCTAGAATATTTTATTGTGCCAAGTAAGAAAGTACCCAAAGAATGAAAGCGACACTTAAAAAAATAAAAGAGAGAGAGAGAGACCACAGAAGCTAGCATGAAGGGACTGAGACAGTCCTGGAAAGAACTGAGCATCAAGACAACTGACAGTAACATACTAAAATCCATCCAATAAAATACAAATCCTCAAGTCCATAATGAGTTAAAAATACTAAATTGGGGCCAGTCAGTGGTGTAGTTGTTAAGACAGCCAGATCCCACATGGCCGACTGCACAGTTTGCATCCCGGATCTGGCAGCTTGAAAACCACACCAGGTGTGTGAACGTCCATGCCCAAAATCCCAAGAAGAGAATGGGGAAGAGGGGACTGCAATATGGCCATGCCCCATGGGGCATTCTCTGTCTCTCTGCCTCTCTCCAGTGAATGCACATGCCAGATAGCAAAACTTAAACAACAACAAAAAAAAAACATTAAAAAGAAAAAAACAGAGTATCTCTTCTGTAACATTCCTGCCAAGGATATATTGATATATCCCAAAGCTAATCATGAGGAAGCATGAGACAAACCCCAAGTTGAGGTGCGATCCACAAAAGAATTAGCCTGTAACCTTTGGAAGTGTTAAGGTCATGAAAGTCAAGGAAAGACTCAAGTACTACCCCTGACAAGACAACTAAATGTAACACATAATTCAGAACTGGATCTCTCTGCTATGAAGCCATTGGCAAAAGTTGAACAGGAGGGAGTTGGCTGACTCCATGGCACAGCGGTAATGCACTGTTCAAGAGAAGCCAGATCCTACATGGCAACCACTGCCTAAATCCAGATGGGTCAGCGTGAACCATGGCAGATACACATGAGTACCCAAGATCTGAAGGGCTACAGGACTAGAGGAAGGGGATCACGGCATGACCAGACCCTGAACATGATGCTCGTCTATGTGCATGCACTTTACCATGAACAAAGAAACAATTTTTTTAAAGAATTATTTAATATTTATCTATTTATTTATTTAAATTTGACCAGAGAGGGACAGAGTGGGAGAGAGAAGGACAGAGGGAAAGGAGGTAAAGTGAGAAAGCAAGTCGCCAGGTCTGGGACTTGGAATTGCAGTCAGCCATGTGGAAGTCCAGAGCCCTTAAGCACCACATCACCTGCTGGCCCCAGGAAACAATTTTTTAGGTTGAATGTGGTCTGAGAATTAGATGGTATAATGTATCAATGTTAATTTCCTGATTTTTGATGTTGCATTGTAGTTCTACAGAAGAATGGCCTTGTTTATAGGAATTACACATCGAAATATTTGGGGATGGTAAGGCTTCATGTCAGCAACCTACTCACATAATTCAGAGAAGAGCAATTCTTTATACTGTATTCTTTTCTACAAGCTTAAAACACTTTTTAAAAAGTTATTAGAAAGGATTATTCAGATTATAACTCCATTAATTAAGAATCTACATTTATAGGAAAAAGTTATGACAATTCAGAGGTAGGAGACACCCTTCTTTTTCTGTGCTTTTAGAATATCCTTATCTCAGGACCAGCAGTTGCGTAATGACTATGTTGCTGAACTCCCACATAGTTGATCACGGTTCAAGTCCTAGATCTGGTGACTTAAACTCACACTGGGCATGTGTGCATGCGTGCCCAAGATCCCAAGAGGAGAATGGAGGAGAAGTGATTTTGGCATGGCCATCCGCCCTAGGGGGTGATTTCTCGCTCTCTGTGTCTCTGTCTCTCTCTGTCTTTCTGGCAAGCACATGTGCCCTATAGCAAAATCCTCTCCAAAAAAAAAAAAAAAAGAATATCCTTATCTCTGTAGGTTAAAGAACAAAAAGGCCCTTTCAATTCACAGGACTCAATGTCAAATCTATAGAAATACTAAAATAACATTCATACCTCCTAAGCTGTCAAGATCCTCAAGAATCCTGCCAAATCTGTAAAAATAAAGCAAACTGTTAATTACATTAAAATCATGATGATCTTCCTTTAAAAATATATAACACACTTTAGAGGGATGGATGTGTTTTAAAATGAGTTTTGGTGACAGTCACACAACTCTCTGAATATATTAAATCCCACAGAAGTGTACATTTTAAATAGGTGACTATGGTCTATGAATTATACCTCAAAGTCATTATAAAAGGGGTTGGCAGGTGGTGTGATAAGACACTGGTCGACTGCAAGTCCCGGACCTAGTAGCTTGCTTTCTCACTTTCTCTCTCTCTCTGTATGTGTGCCCCATAGCAAAATGTTTTAAATAATAACAAAAATATAAAATTAACCAACATAGAAAATAAAATAAAAACAACACAAATAAAAATAGAACTGCATTACCTTACGGTGTTTTGAACAGTCAAGTATTTCTCTCGTAATTCAGGTTCAGTCCCCAAAGGCAGGAGAACTTCAATATAACTGTCCTTCATCTTCCTAGGTGGCAGTCCCTTCTGTGACTTAGCCAAAAAACTTTGAAGTAACTTTCTTTCCTCCATTAATTTCACATGGTCTCTGAGAAGAAAGGATGCAAGCTTCATAAAACAAGGGCAGTGCTACCTCCCAATTCTAGTGACACACTGGAGAGGTCTGGACCTATTCATCTCCTCCTCCTCCTCTCCCACCTCTTGGTGAAACTAAACATTTCTGGTACCATTAGTTTACACTTCAAGACTAGAAAAACATACTTAGAAGTTACACAGATATTCCCAAATGAACCAAGTATTCACCCTCATCAAACAGTTTATTCAAAAAATAGAATACTTGAAATCAAATGGAAAATCTACAGGGATGAACAAAATAGTATATATATATGGTAAAAAAAAAAAATAGCATGGTCATTGAACTCCACATTCCTACCTCTCAGCTTGATAATTCTCAGATTCTCTGTGCTCTAGCAATCAATCAATCAATCAATCAGCCTTCAATTTCAAGAAAGACAGAGGGGGGAAATGGTCTATATCCAAAGGAAGTATGGAAAGCAGAACACAAGGTAAAGAGAAGATTGAAAGGAGACAAAAAAGGGGAGAAAAAGATTAGGGTGGAAGAGAAAAGTGAGATAACAGGATAGAAAAAAAATGCTGGTAATAGGGACCAACAGATGGCATGGTAGTAAAGGTGCTGGATTCCCACATGGCTGACTACAGTTTAAGTCCTGGACCCAGCAGCTTGAAAATCACACTGGGCAGTGTGCACATATGCCTAAAGTCCCAAGAGGAGAATGGAGGAGAAGGGATTGTGGTGTGGCCATCCCCGCCTGGGGACTGATTTCTCACTTTCCCTGTCTATGTCCCTGTCTGGCGAGTGCACATGTCCTATGACAAAAACCTTAAAAAAAAAAATGCTGACATTAACTAAGATGTCCGTCTAAGTTTAACTTATAAAGTATTATCACCAGAAATGTATTATTGCCAGAAATGTTTAGACTAAATTATAGGAGATAAAGGAACACGTAAAATGACACCAGGTAAATCTAGAATATAAAAAGATAAAAAGAGAGGAGGGTAACACTCAGTGATTATAGATTAGGGGAGACTAAAGAGTCATAACCACCAGACCCAATGTGCAATCCTTTATTGGATCTTGATTGTTTTTAAATACCTATGAAAGACATTTTGGGAACAGTTGAGCAAATCTGAACATGGATGGGTAACATACCATAGGGAATTACTGTCAATTTTATTACATGAGAAAATGTCTCATTTGTTGGAGATACACAAAGATTGCTTTTGTTATAAAAGAGAATATAACTGTTTATCAGAGACTCATGCTGAAGTGTCATTATATCTATAATTCACTTAGAAATATGCATATATTGGCAAATTTGGTAAAATGTTAACAAGTATGGACCAGCAGTTAGCGTAATGGCTATGTTGCTGAATTCCCACATAGTCGACTGCGGTTCGAGTCCTGGACCTGGCGGCTTAAACTCACACCGGGTGCGTGTGTGTGCATGCCCAAGATCCGGAGAGGAGAATGGAGGAGAAGGGATTGTGGCGTGGCCATCCCCCCTGGGGGGTGATTTCATTTCCCTCTTTCTGTCTCTCTGTCTCTCTCTCTCTGTCTGGCGAGAGCAAGCGCCCTTTAAAAAAAAAAAAAAAAACGTTAACAAGTATCAAATCCAGGCAGTGGAGACATAGGTACTACTCTCTACTTTTAAGTAAATTGAAATTTTTCATATAGTTTCAAAATAAGTCATTAGATAATTTTTATACCAACAATAGATTATATATCTAAGGATCACTTAATGTTTCCTTTTTACTATTTTTAGAAAGATTTTTTTAAAGAATTATTTTTATTTAACTTTACTTTTATTTATCTATTTATTTTAATTTGACCAGAAAGGGACAGAGAGAGAGCGAGGGAGGAGGAGAAAAAAAAAAGAGAAAGTGAGAAAGCAAGTTGCCAAGAGAAAGTGAGAAAGCAAGTCGCCAGGCCTGGGACTTGAACTGCAATCAGTCATGTGGGAGTCCAGCACCCTTAACCACCACACCACCTGCCGGCCCTGAGAAGGATTTTTGCTGTAGGGCCTGTGCATTCATCAGAGAGACAGAGAGAGAGAGAAAGATAGGAAATGAGAAATTACCCCACAGTTCCCTTCTCCTCCATTCTCCTCTCAGGATTTTGGGCATTCATGCCAAAGTGCCCAGCAAGAGTTTCAAGCCACTGGGTCTGGGACTCAAACTGCAGTTGACCATGTGGGAGTCAAATGCCTCAACCACTATGTCACCTGTTGGCCCCCAGGCTTCTTTTTAAATCTCATTTTAGCTTCAAACTTCTGTGTGCCAGAAGGAGTATGATACTGTTTCACAGAAGGGAAATACTGAGAAAAAGAAAAAGATAATGCTGGACATCTGGGTAACTGGCAAGAAGCAATGAGAGTCAAGTTGCACGAAACAGAAAAACCAGGAGACTTGGGTTCAAGTCCCAAACCCAGATATTTAATTGTTTAATCTCTCTGAGTTTTAGTTTTATCATGTGTAAAAAAGGAATAGGAACATACACCACAAGCATATCACAAGTTTTTTTATGAGAAGCAGTGAGGTAATATGCCTGAATGCACTATGAAAAATGAAGATGATGTGTAATCCATGTTATTTTATGAGAACAATGCATAAACTGATGAATAAGTTGAGGTGTTGATCTTTTCCCACAAGTAAACAACCTTTAACCCATCTCCAAACACAGGGCTCCCCATCCCTACAAGGGGACAATCAGTTGAGCCTACACAGAACCTGGCACAATACCTAGGGGATGAGAGAATGAGCGAACACAAGAGTGCCTACCTCCAGTTGGTGGATGCTCCTACTATCTCCCGCAACTTATCTCGAACTGAAACAAGAATAAAGAAGTCACTCCGTGAAACAAACAAACAAACAAACAAAAAATGACCATTGGATTGTGGCAACAGGGCTCAAGAACTATGCAAACGCAAAGCAATTCATGCATGCGAAAGATCTAAAGGCTTGTGAATTTCCACCGACTGCTGTAGCAAACAAGAGATCAGGCCACTGCTCCCTGCGACAACTATATTGTCTCCTTGGTACAGAGAGAATATCTTTGTGCCATTCACAGGGGAATTTACATAAACAAAAAAGGGTATATTCATATATTTATACTATACTATTTATTAGAAAAGCTTAAGCCAGAAAAATGAAGCAAGATGAATCAAGATAAGGCAAAGAATGCAATTTAATTGTAGTTAGTGCCCACTGCCCAAAAGTGGAAGAGTAAATTAGTGCTAACAGAATTTAAGCACTTAAAGTAGATACTAATTACCACACATACCGTTATTCACATGTATAGGTGAACATGCTATATGGATAACGGGAAAATCAATTAGAGAACCAGCAGTAATTCAAAACTGAAAAATAAATCTATAGTATTTCAAATAATATACTGAGGTCATATGCTTATTCTAGCATTTCAAAATATATAATTCAATTATAGGAAATTAAATATAGTCATCCTTGGCCCTTTAATAACTAACTGATTGAAACCAAATATACTTTAACTTTCACATAAAAAGTATTTCTTTTCCTATCAAAAAATTATGTATACACCAAAATTTGACGCGTACTTTAATTATAATCAGATTATAGAGAACTGCAAAAAAGTAACTATTAGTAAATCAGTCCTATTTCTGATTTTCCCCCTGAAATTCTTTGAATAAAATAATAGATTGAAAGTACCCTTAAACAGTTGCAAACTACTGATACACAATGACATAAAAATGACTATTACTACTTTAGTCAGTAAGAAGTGTGGCAAGTGCTGAGAGCCAAGGGGGGAAAAAAGAATTTAAAATTTTATTTACATATACACACAAACATTTTTTCGAATCCTTTAAAGAAGCCATAATTTTAATTAAAGTGATACTCCTAAGTCTATGAAGATAATCCATCATCTGTATATCATATTAGTATGTGAAATTAACTTCAATTAAGCATGGATCAACACAGAACCTCTAAAAGTATGGTATGAACTAGGAGTATTTAGTCAGTATCACTGATGGACCCATCTCCTATTCAGGTATTAGGTCTCTTCTTTTCACACCTTAAGAACCTACACACAGAAGTGGGATATCATTTAACTAAAAGAACTTAGTTTGACACAGCCGAGGTGGTGTAGTCAGTAGCATATCGTACGGCAGTGCTGGAAGCCACATGACTGACCATAGGCTCAGACCCTTGGCTTAGTCAACTGAAATATGGCAGGCACACACACACGTGCCCAACATCCTGAGGGGCTGGAAGAAAGGAATCATGGTGTGACAAGATCCTGTAAGGGGTATTTTCTTTCTCTCCCACAACCACTGTCTGTGTGCACATGCTATTGTAAATCAAAAACATTTAAAAAAAAAAAAATTGGGAGTCAGTTCCCAAGGCTCCCAGTAACAACAGCTCAACTTCCAAATGTGATTTCTACCAGAACCTATCATGTAGCTATTCTGGTCACTTTATAAATGAGACGCTTATTAAACATCTACCTTTAATACATCTCATTTCCCCTAAGTTATCATTCTATACACCTTTTAAATGAAAGTGAAACAAGGTTTCGCCACATAGGCATAAAAAGCAAACATCATGCTTGCCTTCATGAATGTAGAAGACTCCCTGTTTTCTGGGGCTCTGAGATCCTTGAGTCAGTCCTCTGCCAGGGGTAAGCAGCCCCTTACTGGAGGCACAAAGCCTATAAAACAAGATAAAAGGTACTTGGTGTAGGTTCTACTGCTTCTTCCTTTTCCGGAAACCCCAAAGACCTACATTTCTTCCCATAGTATTTGGTCTACCACACCCTTAGTATATACTGTCTTGTAGGGGTCTCTAGTTGCTTCACAAGCTTATGTACATTTGAGTATAAGGCTTCCCCATATAAAATAAACCTTTGGGTTTTATTATGATTTGTTATGTATGTTTAGTCATTGTATACCTCTATAGCACACAATGTTTTCCTCTTTTTTAAAATATCTTTTTTTAATTTGACCAGAGAGAGAGAGGAAGTGAGAAAGCAAGCTGCTAAATCCAGGATTCAAACCACGATCACCCAAGTGGGAGTCCAGTGCCTTAACTACCATGTCACCTGCTGGCCCCCACAATATGTTTGTTTTTCTTTTAAAGAATTATTTTATTTAATTTCATTCATTGTCATTCATTCATTTATGAAGTTGACCAGAGAAAGAAAGAGAGAGAGGAAGAAAGTGAGAAAGCAAACTGCCAGGTCCAGGACTTGAACCACAGTCAGCCATGTGGGAGTCCAGCCTCCTTAACCACCACACCACCTGCCAGCCCCCACAATATGTTTTTAAAGTCATGCATGTGGTATGCGACAATCAAATCAAGGATATTACCATAAATATCATTTTCAACAGGAAACTTTACAATCTTGTATCTGATAAAAGAGTTCTTTCTCTGAGCTCCTCCCACCCACCCTTACTATCCATTCTTCTTCTATACAGTTGCTGGTATTAACACTCACCTTCCCTACTTCCATATCTTCAGATATTTCTGTTTCTGCTGTAGAATAAATACTGTTTGAGAGCAGAAACCAATTTAGTAATTATTCACAGAATAAATAAAAGATGTTGACCCTGACATGGATACTGAACTTGAGCTGCTTCCCTCGACTAAAAGTGAAGATTTTCTGCTAAGATTTCTCCCTCCAGATACATTTCTAATGGGTAGGGCTACCTCTGTCTCCTTCTCTCCATTTCTCTCTGTCTCTCTCTGCCTCTGTGTGTCTCCCTGTGTCTTTTAATTTTTTTTTAAAAAAAGTTTAAGGTAAAGTATTTCCTAAGCTCTCAAGCCCTACCTTTATTGTGCTAATTGGTGCCTTTCCCCATTCCATTTAGGAAAGGCACAATGCAGGCCCATCCTGACATGGATATCAAACTTGAGCTGTGAAATATTGTTTTTGCAAGGCACACAAGTACACCGCGCAGTTTTCAATTTTTGCTATTTAAAATTTAAATCCAGTTTTTTAATATCTTTTTCTCTTCATTTTTATTTTATTTTTTCTTCTTTCCCCTTCTCTAATTCTTTTCCTTTTTTCTTTATCTTTATGCATTGGCCGCTCAGCCTCTACCTACTAAGTGTCTAGACAGGTCCACATAAACAGGATCCAAACATCTGATTATGATTAGGGTCAGAATATTCCTCTATTCCCACTGAATCTGATGCACAAAGAGTAAAAACAGAACAGAAGAGAGATTGCAGATCACCTCCTTCTGCACGCCTCTGAACGCTCAGATTGAACTTCAAGAATTCGGACAAAACACACCATCCATCAGATGACTAGAAATCACCGCAGGGTTCCAAGAGATATGGGAAAGCAAGAAAATACCTCTCTTCCTGGGGAAAAGAATAACTCTTCTTCATCCTCAGATGGTACAATGAAACTCATGGAAATGTCAGATAAAGAATTTAGACTATTCATAGTGACAAAGCTAACAGAGATGATAGAAAAGAGAGACAATGAACTGCAGAAGAGGCAGGAGAAAGGAGCTGATGAG